CTTTGCCCAGTGTGCCCCAAGAATTGAGCAAAGCACTTAAGCATTTATTTAACTTTCAGCACACTTGCTGAAGTGCTCTGTTGGATCCAGGCCCACATCTTGTTTAACCGACTTGCAAAACTGCATGCATCAAGAAAACAGGGTGTTTGGTCTCTCTCACTGAGACCTTGAAAATGAGAGGAAGAGTCAGAGGATGCTAAATTCTACCCTCATTTAAGTGACAGCAGAATTTGGCTCAGTAAAAAATTGCTTTGCAGTGTCACAAAATGGCCCCAAAATATGCTGCTATCTTTCTTTTCAAACCCTTGAACACCTTCCTCCATTACCATAACATTTCCCAACATCCCACAGATACTATCTATCGGTATTCCATGCTATAGGTGAACTTGCCTTTTCCCTTATTCAGCCCAGACTAGGATCATTCCAGATAGTGTGAACCCATCAGTGCATGAAGTACGAGAATGAGACAGTGTCATATTCTCGGTGGGTCTGCACTTTCATGAGAGCTTTATTTTACTTCTCTAAATGTCCTCGTGAAGATTTTTTTTCTGGCCAGGAGACATTAACTGAGATCTGTAAGAACAGGGAACAAATCTGAGTGACTATGCTAATGAGGTGACCTTAATATGGGAGTGACTACGTTAATAATTGTGTTAAGGCTCTGAGTGTGCCTGAATATCTGAACTAGATGTGTCCAGAAGTCTGAGCAGATGTAGAGCGAGCCGACTGACCAGACTGTTAATAGGGACTCTTGTTGCTCTCTAAACAACTACCCTCTTAAGAGCTTCACCAGAAGTTACTTCTTCAGGGCTGTTTACACGCTGCTGTAAGTTGGCATCAACAGTTCAGACTATTCTTCAATAAATATGGATTACACACATCTGCTCCTTCTGCTACATTGTAAAAAGAGCAGACCAAGGCCATCTCCTTTTTGGTGCAAAGGTCTGAATGTAGCACCACTTCTGCAGGGTCTGATTTAGGGGCAGGCAACCGAGGCGGCTGCTTGGGATGCCAGGCTTGCCGGGGTGCCAGGCTTGGGGTGCTGTTTTTGTTGTTAGCAACAAAAGGGAAAATAGAATATTTGAAATGAAATGTTTCAGGTATTCCATATGTGGATTCATTTTTCACTCCTAGAATGCTCTGAAGCTTTGTAGAATCTTATGGAACCTTCCAGACTTTCTGAGAACTACATTTTCCTCGAATCTCCTAGACTGTTGTCAGCCATGCTCTCGTGGGTATACGAGGGGTGGGAAGTTGGTTCTAAGGGTAGAGATGAGGTGGTGGGAAACTTGGAAGAAAAATTCAAACAGGAGGTTTTTTTGCTCCCTCGTTGACACTGCTCAAGTGTCCATCAAAGAAAGGTTTGGACAAATGAAGCACCACAAGAAGACCTGTAGGTATTTGTATGACCTGAGTAAGTTGCAGACAGGAAAACACTCTTGAACAATTTTACAGACCTTCACCGGACGCTGACACATGGGGAATGTTCAGATGTCAGTGATAAAGACCTCTATGTCAAATTGGACAACATCCGTCACATTTTGCGACATGGGAAGCACTCTCCACTCCAAGTATTCCAGTTCATTCATGATGCAGAACTGAAAGACACTTTTTCTAATGTGTGGAGAGCTTTGAGGATTCAGTTCATACTGCTGGTCCCAGTCGCAAATGGTGAGTTCAGCTTTTCGAAGCTCAGGCTCATTAAAACATATCTTTGATTGATGATGCCCAACGAGAGACTCACATTGTTGCTATTTTATCTCTTGAAAATGCCACTGGCCAGTCTTTGGATCTCTCTGATGCTGTGCTTCAGTTTGCAAGGGCATGGGCAAAGGCAAGAAAAGCGACGTTTTGAACTAAAGACTGACACTTACTGTAACACTATTTAATACTGGGCCACCCAATGTTAGTGCACAGTTCAATTTCTTGATGTTAGTACATTTCAGTTATTCTTAATTTTAAAAGTTTCTATAAGCTTAGAGGGGGAAAAATTATTTGCTTATATATGCCATGAATAAATACAGATTTACAGATTCTAGCGTGCAAATTTATCGTCTTATATGACAGGGACAAATCATGCATGCAAATCATGCATCAAAGTCGTGAACTGGGCTACAAATGCAATAAAAAATAAAGGTATTCAAAAATTTAATGGAGGAAGGGTGCCATTTGTTCTAGGGTCAGCCCCTTCTACTGGCTCAGGACTTGTCTCCTGATTTGTCGCCCACTAGTAAATAGAACTTCCGAACTGCATACCACCTGCCCTAGAGTTACTGACAGAGCTGTTAGCTTTGCTCCAGAAAATAAAACTTCCTTGTTAGCGGATGACAGATGATCCAGAAATCTGGTTGGAATTTTTGGACTCTCTGTTTTTAAAGTACTCTAATTTTTCAAAAACATTCTAAATGCAAATTTTTGGAAATACAGAAGATTTAAACTGTAACTTGAAGTCTTTAAATCATGATTTGAGGACTTCAGTAACTCAGCCAGAGGTTAGGGGTCTATTACAGGAGTGGGTGGATGAGGTTCTATGGCCTGCAATGTGAAGGAGGTCAGACTAGATGATCATGATGATCCCTTCTGGCCTTAAAGTCTATGAATCCTGAATGATTCTTAACAAAAGTTCCAGTCTTCTTTAGAATTATTCCTATTGTGACTATTTGGTTTTGCGGTAGGAAAGCTTTTTTTTTAGAGATAATAGTGCTGGAAACAAGTCAAGAAATTAAATTTAGTTTTTGGAAACAAATACAAACATATTTGTGTGGAATTACCTTTTATTTAATGTCCTTGCGAAAACCCTTCACGGTCTTAGAGCGAACTCATGACTGTCACTTGGAAGATCTTCAATTCTTTCATTTTTGCTGTAAACATGTCTATAAGTTTTGTATTTCCTTTTGACTAATATTAAAATCTTATATTATGGTCTTGTCTACGCTGCCGCTGGGACTACGTTAGCAAGAACCAGTTTTTAAATTGATCTCCCTAGTCTCTAGTGTTTGTAAAAATGGTTCAGGCCTTATCTGTGTTGGACAAAGAAATCACGTTGGCACCTGCTAAACAAGATTCACCCCTCAAGTCCACTTCTTATTCTAACATTAATCTGCACTGTTGGCCTTTATGCAGAGCTCACAGCAATGCTGAAACACACATTGCCAGCCCAATCTCCATTTTGTTTTCAGTCTCTGAACCAGAACTTACTGTGACGTTGCACTCCATATGTTTTATGAAAATATAATTATGAATGTGAATATGATATAACTGAAAAATGCTTTATGCAAAAGGTCTCTTGTAAGGTATCATTACAAAGCTTATAACCTACGAGTGTGTTCATCCTATTTGTTTGCATCTGTTATTTCTATGTCTGGAGTTAGGACAGGGGCAGGCAAACTTTTTGGCCTGAGGGCCACATCGGGTTTCTGAAATTGTATGGAGGGCCAGTTAGGGGAGGCTGTGCCTCCCCAAACGGCCAGGCGTGGCGTGGCCCGGCCTGCACCTGGACCCCGCCCCGATTGCTCGCTGCTGCTGCATCCAACCCCCACTCTCCTTCCTTTCTGACTTCCCCCATTCAACCCCCCCTTTTCCCCACCCTCTGACCGCCTGACACCTATCCACACCCCTGACCACCACCCCGAACTTCCCTGCCCTCTGTCCAACTCCCCCTGCTCCCTGCCCCCTTACCGCGCTGCCTGGAGCACTGGTGGCTGGTGGCGCTACAGCCGCGCCACCCAGAGCACCAGGACAGGCAGCCGCACTGCCCGGCTGGAACCAGTCACACCACCATGCAGCCTGACCCGGTGCTTTCTGCTGCGGCTCTGAAGCTGCACTGCCCGGCAAGAGCTCACAGTCCTGCCGCCCAGAGCATTGCACCGGCGGTGCAGTGAGCTGAGGCTGCAGGGGAGGGGGAATAGGAGGGGAGAGGGCCGGAGCTAGCCTTCTGGGCCAGGAGCTCAGGGGCCTAGCAGGAGGTTCCTGCGGGCTGTAGTTTGCCCACCTCTGAGTTAGGAGAATAAGAAATAAACCTGTATTACTAATGTAAACATATTAAGTGGAAGCCATTAAGGGAATTTCAGAATCAATGAACTGTAAATGGCTCTGTTTACTTGCAAACTTTCCTGTGTACGTATGGGCCAGCCCAGGAAGAATGGAGGCTGGGGTCTCACAGGAAATCACATATCACCTGATAATGAAATCCATCTTAACTCTGGTACTTTTCCATTTAGAAGGAGGGGTGGAGACCCAGAGAGACAAAATATTCCCACCTTGTGCCAAAGCTACAAAAGGGGGGTGGAGCAGGACAAAGGGCTGCCAGTCATGAGAAAACCCCTAGTTACCACCTAAGATGTCTGCTGGAACTAATCAGGATTGTACCAGGGGAAAAGATTGGGCCCAGACTAGGAAGGAGTCTAGTCTGTGAAAGAAGTTTATTGGAACATGTCTGAGGGTGAGATGTTACCTGTAATCAGTTTCTTAATGTATTAGGCTTAGACGTGCGTGCTTTTGCTGTATTTTGCTTGGTGACTTACTTTTTTCTGTCTGTTATTACTTGAAACCACTTAAATCCTACTTTTTATACTTAATAAAATCACTTTTGTTTATTAATTAACCCAGAGTAAGTGATTAATACCTGGGGGCGCAAATAGCTGTGTATATCTCTCTATCAGTGTTATAGAGGACAGACAATTTATGAGTTTACCCTGTACAAGTTTTATACAGAGTAAACCGGATTTAGTTGGGGTTTGGATCCCATTGGGACCTGGGTGTCTGGGTGCTGGAGACAGGTAAACCTGCTGAGCTGTTTTCAGTTTAGTCTGCAGCTTTGAGGGTGTGGCCCAGACCCTGGGTCTGTGCTGCAGCAGGGAGACATGTCTGGCTCAACAAGACAGGGTTCTGGAGTCCCAAGCTGGCAGGGAAAACGGGTTCAGAGGTAATTTCAGCACGTCAGGTGACAGTCTCAAGGGGGTCTCTGTGACCGAACCTGTCACATCTATATCTCTTTGCAGCTTTTCTGAGCCCTCAGGAGCAACATCTTCAGGAACAACTTCTTTATTGTCTTTGACCTGGGTCCTGATCTCACACAGGTGTGTATCAACAGTGGCTCAATGGAAAATAGAATTATATGGTGTAAACTTGCTGTAACCCAGATCAGGACTGTATCCTTTTGATATTAGTGGGAATTCCATGCGTGAAATGAAGGTAAAATTTAGTCTTTCCTGTTCAATGCCTGATATAGTGGCAATTTTGTCTGATTTATGCAATTCCTACTCTCCTCCAGTCACTAGCCTCTGCAAAAGAAGTTCCATGTTACATGGACATTCTCTGTTGCTGGATGAAATGCCACCTCTTTCCCTGTTACCTAGGCCTGTAACCATTGATCTTCCCTCACTCTCACCTTTTCACATCCAGGCTGTATGCAAGTCCTACCACTTCTTCCCCCACACCATCTCCAAGATAGCAACTTTTCTGTCTGTCTGTTTTGATCCCTCATCATCTACTGATTTGACTACTTCAACCTCCTCCTGTCTGGCTCCTTGACACCCATATCGCTTGTCTTCTGTCTATTCAAAACTCTACTCCTAAGATCTGCCTTCCCCTTTGAATCCTTCCACTGGCTCCCCCTTCTCCATAACATCCAGTTCAAGCTTCTTGTGCTGTCTTTCAGAGCCTTCCAAAGCTCAGTTCTCCCACTTAGCTGACCTTGTGTTTTATCACTGCATCCCTTGACCCCTCAATGCTTCTAGCCTTGTTACCCTGTCGGCTTCTCCCACAAATGTCTTCATGCTTCTTCCATGCCACCCTCTGCATAAGGAACACTTTTCCTAAATTGATCCTTAGGCTTCTACCCTCTCCACGTTTAAGTTTCTCCTCAAGACTTACTTTGGCCTGCGTGAAACTGGCCAGCTAGTGTTCATTGACTCTGACTATAAAAGCAAACCCCCATCTGTTTTATTCCATGATGCCATACACGAGTCCATGCAGAGTAATCTGTAATCTTTTTGAGACTACGCTGTCATCTCCACCTTAATTTTAAACGTTATGCTTAAATCCCATTGTAGTCAATGGGATTCCAACCTGCCCAAAATTAAACATGTGCTAAAGGTCATTGTTGAATAGGTGTGGACTGCTCAGTCGGTGCCTATAAGTGGAGCTGAAATGCAGTGAATGGAAGTGAAAGTCCAAAACCACTATAAACATGTTCCATGGTAATGCTTTTTTTTTTTTTTTTTTGGCTGAGGATTTAGAAAATGGAGATGACAGTACTAAATATTTAATACTGAGTAGGAGATGCTTCGTTTAAACCGGAGATGACCCAGAAAGCAAGAGAAATTCACAGACTGAGCTTTACACAGCATGAAAATGCACTCATTTTTGTCAAGAGAAGCATTTTCCATGCCCACCATCCCCTTCCCTATCATAATGCATTTGGGAAGGTCCGAGTACTTTTTCTGTGCTTGGGAAAAGAACGTTGTGACAAAACCTTGCAACCTAGAGACTGCTTTGGCCACCACTTTGGGTTGCTCCCACCACCAGAGAGTGTAGTCAACCTCACTTTCAAGACTGGGCCTGATTTGGTAGCAGTGTCATGTGTCGCAAGTCCCCAAAGCTGGCCCAGTGAGAACCTTACCCTCTGCGCCCCGCCACCGCCCTGCAAGGCTAGACAAAGAAACTGCAGCTGACGCCCCGCAAACAGAGGATGCACTCACTGGCACAGCGGGATCAGCTGACTAGCAGCAGACAGCTAATTGGATACCTGCTAGTGTAAAGCTTCTTGTTCCTGCCACTCCTTTTGTCTGAGCAACTATTTGCTAGGCTTGGTGCTGGCCAGACCCCGGAGACCAAGTTTCTGCCTCGTCCCCTGGTTCCTGCTCCTTATTCCTGTTAAAACCCCTTGTTCCTGGTTTCTGCTTCCTGGCCCTGACTCCATTTACTGACCCCTAACTTTACCCTGGGCGTGATTTCTAACTGTGGCTTCTAACCCTGACTCTCTATTCTAGGCTCTGACCGCTAAGTAACACCCCCCACATTATGGGTCCTGACAAGATGCTCTGTAGGCTTAAGTGGCATTTGAAAGCCTAACATGCACCCTGTTCACTGGGAGCAGAAGGCCAAGCAGAGGCCCATGCACCATCGTGTAAGACGTTTTTTGAGGACTTAAGTGGTGCATATGTCTTATGTGGAGCTCTTTACAGAGAGGTGAATTTCATCCTATATGTGGCTTTCCAATTGGGAGAGGGCAGCTTTTTACACAAATATTCAGTGTGATTGGACTTTCTTTTGAGCTAAGAGCTTATCTAGACGTGCAGTTAGTGTGTGGCAAGCTGGAATGTAAATCTACAGTGCACTAGCATGCAATGCACATGTCTGTGTGGACCTTGCTTCCATGCACTAAAATTTCCTAGTGTGCATTGGCCTACTGTACCGCCGTTTCAAAGCAGAAACTACGAAAAAGCATACATTGTAATTGACAATTTCCCATAAGAAAAGTATCACTTTTAATAGAATCTTTTCTCTTTTCTTGTGGATGGTACGGTTGGTGTCTGATGTCTCAGAATTCAGCAAGCTTGGACTTTCTGAAGCATTTGGACTGGATAGGAAGGGATGATTTGTTTTGTTTTATTTTATATGATGCAAATCGAATCCAAGCCAACTGTTGCTGAGGTTCGGGAAACTTTGCAGTGAAGTGATAAACGTCAAGCGGCAGATAGCGAAGATTTTAAAATGACAGAAGTGTTCAATCAGTTTAGATTGAAGTACCTAAGGCATTGAAGTGTCTTTATAGAAAATATTTACCTCCAGATAAGGGTAATGAAGTATTTTCAGAGATACTAGAGGATGTGTCATTAGCAACTTCAGTAATAACCAAGGATTTTAATTTTCAGTTGCCACAGATCAATTGGAATATTCAAGCACTGAATGATGAAAAGGGAAGGGATTGTGTTAATTTTAATATAGGATCAGTTTTCATATTTCTGTGTGTTAGGGAAAACTGGTGAGGGTTACATTTTATAATCTCTGCTCCTGTGAAGAATGTATAGTAAGGGAAGAAACTAATAAAGGGTACTGTCATTTGGGAATTTATTTGTATTGTGTTAGTGCCTAGGAGCCTCAGTCATGGACCAGGACCCCATTGTACTAGGTGCTGTAAAAACACAAAGCAAAACAGAAAGTCCCTGCCCCAAATAACTTACAATCTAAGTAGTCATCTGAATAGCCTCATACTCTAATGTGGTTTCAAATTTCAGCTATTGGAAGCTATTTTTGGACACAAATAGAAGCAAATTAAATCAGTTTGAGTTCTAATCCTGGTTCTGATGGTGTGTGACTGTGACCATCACAATTTTCTGAATCCAGTTTTCCTATCTATAAACTGGTGGGTTGTGGTTGTGGAAGGACTTTAATTATCAGCCCTGCCCACTCAGCCTAAGTGCTGAGACAAAGTTTAGGTTATTTCCCAACTGTCACCAGTAAATAAAAGTACTGGAGGCCAAATTCTGCTGTTGGTTACACATATGCAACTCCATTGTCTTCGGTCGTTTCCCTCTTGTGACACCTATGTATGATGTCTTAAAGGAGTTTCCTAGATTCATAGCATGAAATCCTGGCCCCATTGAAGTCAGTGGCAAAAATCATTGACTTCAATGGTGCCAGGATTCACCAATGCATTTTAGGGCCAGAAGGAACCATTATGATAATCTTTTCTGACCTCTTGCATACCACAGGCCATATAATTTTACCCAATAGCCCAGGGGTGGCCAACCTCAGCCTGAGAAGGAGCCAGAATTTACCAATGTACATTGCCAAAGAGCCACAGTAATATGTCAGCAGCCCCCCAGCGTCTTCCACCCACCAGCAGCCCTGCCAATCAGCACCTTCCCCTTCCTCCCCGCACCTCCCGATCAGCTGTTTCGTGGCATACAGGAGGCTCCAGGGGAGGGAGGGGGGAGAGGGAGGAGCGAGGGCACGGCAGGCTCAGGGGAGGGGAAGGAAAGGGGGCAGGACCTGTGACAGAGCCAAGGGTTGAGCAGTGAGCACCCCCTGGCACATTGGAAAGTTGGCGCCTGTAACCCCAGAGTAGGTGCCTATACAAGGAGACGCATATTAACTTCTGAAGAGCCTCATGTGGCTCCGGAGCCATAGGTTGGCCACTGCTGTAGTAGCCTAAGGTCCAACCTGTAGCACAGGTGTAACTGATTGAAACTTACTAAACGACTTTGGTGATGATGCACAAGAAGGAATGGAATCCAGCTCCCTTTCTGAACTGTGTGGGCTCTGCAGGGATAACCGGAATAAAAAGTAGTAAAAACTTATTTTTATGTTCTGTGTAAATAGATCTGACTCTGAATGCACACAGAGCAGATCTGTTGAGTAGGAAGGTGCAATTTTTACATAATCACTTTCAAAATAGAACTTATCAAATTCCATATAATCATCTAATTTTTGCTTAAATACATTAGTACCATTTGACTCCACTACCTAAGTAGGATGTTCATTCCTGCTGTTCTCATGAAAATAATACAATTTTAATTTCTGCTTCCCTATAATGCCTCTTCTGTTAAACCTGTGTTTCCTCTAATTCTGGTCTCCTCAGTGTCCTCAGATCATCAGGTTCAATTTTATACTCTTTTGAGAGTATAACTACTTCAATCCCGTCCTCTCTGAAAACAAAGTATCCCCAATTTTTTTTTAAACAATCTCATCTCATCGGTAAATCCATCCTTTCAACTTATCAATTTATTTGCCCTATGCTTACTGTCTTCTGCTTTGATGGTCAGAAATGGAGGCTGCATTTCAAATACAATCTAATCAGTGCAATGTAAAATTACATGCTATCAATGATAGCAGAATATCCTTGGATTTATATAATCTACTACTCTTCATTGCCTTCTTTGCTACTAAATACACAGTCAACCAAAAATGTAATGTTTGAGTCGACCAGTACACCCAGCGCCTTTTCCTCTGCCACATTAATTCATTTGATGTCATATAAAACTGTATTTACTTTGGGCATTATTTCTACCTAAGGGCATCATTTTACATTAAATTTCATATTCCACCTCGGCGTCTGTTTGTTTGCCTAATCCATCCCTCTAAGTCTTCACTATTTTCTGTATTTTGATAGCAGTTGCATATCGTATCTTTGAATTACTAATAAAAATACAAGGCCAGTTCCTGTTGGTCAGTTGGCAATACCGTGTTCCAGTACAGAACCCCGTGATGCTCTGCCTCACCAAATGCCACAGAGAATACGTATCTTTAATGCCCATTCTGTTTTCTACCTACTAATCAGTCCCCAAGCCATTTTAATAATGTATTACCTAACCCGGTGGCTCTCAACTTTTCCAGACTACTGTACCTCTTTCAGGAGTCTGATTTGTCTTGCGTACCCCCAACTTTCACTTCACTTAAAAACTACTTGCTTACAAAATCAGACATAAAAATACAAAAGAGTCACAGCACACTATTACTGAAAAATTGCTCACTTTCTTATTTTTTACCATATAATTGTAAAATAAATCGATTGGAATATAAATATTGTGCTTACATTTCAGTGTGTAGTATACAGAGCAGTATAAACAAGTCGTGGGTACAAAATTTTAGTTTGTACTGACTTCACTAGTGCTTTTTATATAGCCTGTTGTAAAACTAGGCAAATAAGTAGATGAGTTGATGTACCCCCTAGAAAACCTCAGTGTGCCCCCGGGGTACACATCCCCCTGGTTGAGAACCACTGAGCTAACCCATATTTTGTTGGTATACACATTAATACATTGTGTAAAACTTTCTGAAAATGCAGACGTTCTGGAGGACTGAAAATTCCTCTTATTGTTCTGGTCAGTTACCTTCCTCTTGTAAAACCTAATTTTATCACCTCTTGACCTCATCAGAATGAAATCAATCCACCTCAGAGTTCCAATCGCACATCTTACCTGGGGAAAGAATGTTTCTAGAAAGCTTGGACCAAATCATACAAAGTTTCAGACATACCAAGCTTTTAAAATTTCCCTGTCGTTCACGTTCTCCCAAAGCTTTTTTAGGCTGGAGATATTCCTGAGATAGATGAAGCTGTATAAGGAATAGATAAGGTTGTCTCAGAATTTGTGTTCCTAATGTGGTGCAATGGGTTACTTGGATAATTTTAATTCAAGCATTTCCATACTTTGGAATATTCAGTGTAGTTTATAAAGATGAATCTTAACTTGACATTTGCATGTTCTCTCCAGGGTATTTCTTGTGATTGAAAGAATCCATCATTTAATTTAATCCTTAACTTCTGGTTAGCAAAGTTTTTATTGGGAACATTAATACTTCCCATCTATCTAGACCAATAGATATATTTAACATGATTGATTTTTCACAAATTGTTCCTTAATTTCAGTCTTCTGACTTTAATTATATATTTTATTGCATTTTACACCTAATTAACCCTGCAGAGCCAACACGCTTAGAGAGAGGGAGTTGGATTCTAGTCCTTCCTGTGTATCATCAACAAAACTGATGACTGAATTCCAAATATAGTACACTCCTGTTATATGAATTGCCTTGGAGACATCCAAACGTTCTGCATAACTGAGTGTTTGGATAACCAGAAGCCCTATTAACTAACATAGGGCTACATGGGGGACCACGTTGTAGATTTGGATAACTAGGATTTTTGGATAAAGGAAAGCTGGATAACTAGAATTATACTGTAGTTACAGTTATTTTAACCCACTGAAGGCAATGGGGGTTTTACATATGAGGCTGAGAACAATGTGGGTCACTAAAGATTTGCATGCAGAATCTTTATTACGGGTGATGAACTTAGCAAAAAGAAAAGAACCCAGCTAGATGCTAAGAGCTCAACGTGTGTTTGCAGGGCTGGGAGTTAGAAAAAATTCCTTTTTTTATTTGCAAATTGAGCATATTTGATACAGAAATCATTGAAATTTGGGGCCTCATAATGTCATTTTAAAGTCACTTTTCAGAGTAAGACCTCACTTTAAATTCTGTTCTAGAAGAAAAGGGTGTGTCTCAGGGTTTTTAGGGGAGGAATAATCTGTTTGAAAATTTAAGGTGTGTGTGTGTGTGTGTGTGTATAAATAAAAATATATAATATATGTTTTTGTTTCTAGAGACTCCAACAATGTCTCATTTCAACAAAACCGAGCAAGATGACTGGATGACTGTTTATCTGAAGTATCTCTTGTTTGTGTTTAATTTCTTCTTCTGGGTAAGTGTGACTTCTATGTAATTCTACAGAATAAACTTGTTATGAAGACACCTTTTCTTTGCTCCTGATTCAGCAGGTCATCTCTATTCAGCAAAGCATTCTTAACTTTAGGCATGTGCGTAATCATTGACTTCAGTGGGACTTAAACAAATGCTTAAAGTACTTTGCTGAATAGATATGGACTTAAGCGTATATTTAAATGTTTTGAATTGATATCAATGGGAGTTAGGCACCTAATATGCTTAGGCACTTAAGAAAATCCCACTAATCCTAAATGACTTTCCCTCAGGCACTCAGCATTTTAGTGGCATAGCTGCTTAGGGTATGTCTACAGTGCTGTTAAACACCTGCAGCTAGCCTATGTCAGTTGACTCAGGCTTGCGGGGCTAGGGCTACTGGGCTGTTTAATTGCTGTGTAGACACTTGGGCTGGAGCCCTGACTCTGAGGGCCTCCCCGTCGCGGGGTCCCAAGGCCTGGGTTCCAGCCTGAGCCCGAATATCTACACCACAGTTAACAACGCCGAAGCGCGAGCCCGAGTCAGCTGACTCAGGCCAGCCGCAGTGTTTAATTGTGGTGTAGATATACCCTGGGGTTTAGATTGTGAACCCCTTGCTCATATTAGTGAGCACTGACTCCTCGGGTAAATAATTACTCACCACTGTGAGCAAAAAGTTCACAGTCTGGCCCTAAGCAAATAAACCCCTCATCCATTCACAGTCCTGTGTGTGCACTGAGTGAACGAAGACTGAGTATGCCTCCTCTGCAATCAGGGGTATGGTAGCTTGCAGGAGTAGACATACCTTAGCTAGCTTTCATCTAGCTCGCTCAGGTCCTGAAGCAGTGAAACTGTGGCAGGGCATGCTTCAATGCAGGCTGTACAAGTCCACTTGCAACCCTGGATAGTCGCTCACAGGGCTAGCCTGTGCTGAAGCACATGCTGCTCTAGCTTCATTGCTTTGGGACCCAAGCTGGCTAAATTAAAGCTAGCTCATGTATATCTACCTGAGCTGCAGTCACACCCCACAATTGCAGGGCAGATATACCCTTAAAATCCCCTTATCCGGGTAGGGAGCTACTGTTGCTACTTGGATTTTTATTTCTTCACTTACCCATAATGACAGAGGCTGAACAGGAGTGTGTGGTTTTGGGGTGTTTTTTTTTTTTAAGCCCTAGTCACAGAAGACGTTACACTTTTTATTTACGGTTGCAATTGATGAATTGCTCTTTTACCTGTATTTATATTTTTGATGTGTTGTTTTGCGTAGGGTGGATTTGCCACATTTATGTAGTTTGCCTTTTATTAAACAGCACCAAGGCCCACTTTGCATAATCGATAACTTTAGATTTTCTAAAAACTATTCCTAATTCTACTGGGCTGTGTTTAAAAGAGAACATTTGATTTCTTTGTGCTCTGTTCATCTCCATAAAAATGCCTTCTAACAGGTGGTTGAGAAAGTTCCTGATTCCATAGGACCTGAAAGTTATGGGGTTAAATGAAGGGCTTCCCTTGCTTCCTCACTATTTTCAGAATCACTTTTAGCCACAGCTTACTTGGAGGCTTTTCATGCTGCTCACATATTGCTTCTGTTCACTCTATCCCTTAGTACATCATTATATTTAATCTTAACAGCTGTTCAAGCTTTAGAATCTTCTTTTGAGCTACTTGACTCCAAATAGAACTTAGTGGTTCTTAAATCAGTTTCTTTGGAAAAAGATGTTAAAAAGCTGTGTGCGAAAACTAATGAACTGCAAATTATATCGGATAGTTTGAACACCCATGGGTGTGCTAGTAAAGGACAATCCACTACATCAAATGAAAGAAGAGGTTTTTGAAAATCGCATTTAAGCTTTTAGTATTAGAAGGATAGTTTTGTACAAGACTTAAATAGTTTGGATGTTCATGTTAAGTTCCTCTTGTTTCTGGAAACAACGTTGGAGAAGACTTTTGAGCCGTCATTGCAGATTACTAATCTTTTTCCTGATGCCTTCTAGATCCTTTCAGACTTCTCATTTTAATTAAGTTTTATATTGTACTTAGAGAACAACTTTTATGTCGCTAGTTGATTGGGAGAGGGTAAGGCCCTTCAAGTTGGGCATGCCAAAATGAGGGCACCTCTAATGAAAGGCCACTTTTGAACATTTCTCCTGATGGTGCTCCATAGAATCACAAAAAAACAGCTACTGGTGTTAAAAATCTGAGCTTGCATCAGGTTGTTTACATCAATGCTTCTTTCTGCATAACTTAGAGTGCATGCAAACATCAGGTACAGATGGAAAGAAACTTCTCATTTTTTTACTGCAATGATGAGTAAACCTTTAAATGTCTCACCTGCTGAAATAGAAATACCTAGTAATGAAAGTCTAGATGGGCTAGAAAACAATTCTACAATAGCTTCTATACCTCTGGATTTCAATAGTATAGTAGGCTTTGCTGTACCATTTCACGTATATTAACTAAGCACTGCTTTTTAGCCAGCATGGACAGCATTCTTCTCCTGTTACTTTTTTTTTTTTTCTTCTCTTCAGACTTTATTGGTATGGAGCGTTCTGAATTGGCTGAAAATGTTTTGAGAGCTGTGTCTGAAGAATCTGTCAGTTTTGCTGTATGTTTTATTTTTCTCTTTTTGAAAAATTTCTCTTTGAAATTTGCCTGCTGGGTGACCTAGGGCAAGTCTCTTCACCTCTCCATTCACCTCAGTGTCCCAATCTATAAAATAGAGATAATGACACTGACTAGGACTGTCCATTAAGCGCAGTTAACTCACGTGATTAACTCAAGAATATTAATTGCGATTAAAAAACTAATTGCACTGTTAAGCAATAGAATACTAATGGAAATTTATTAAATATTTATTAGATGTTTTTCTACATTTTAAAATGTAATTGAAATCAATATAACATAGTATACAAAGTTGACAGTGCTCACTTTATATTATTGTATTACAAATATTTGCACTGTAAAAATGATAAAAGAAATAGTATTTTTCAATTCACCTCATACAAGTACCATAACGCAATCTCTTTATTGTGTAAGTGCAACTTACAAATGTAGATTTTTTTTTTGTTACATAACTGCACTCAAAAACAAAACAATGTAAAACTTTAGAGCCTACAAGTCCACTCAGTCCTACTTCTTCAGCCAATCGCTAAGAGAAACAAGGTTGTTCATATTTACGGGAGATAATGCTGCCCACTTCTTATTTACACTGTCACCTGAAAGTGAGAACAGGTGTTTGCATGGCACTTTTGTAGCCGGCATTGCAAGGTATTTACGTTCCAGATATGCTAAACACTCCTATGCCCCTTCATGCTTCGGCCACCATTCCAGAGGACATGCTTCCATGCTGATGACGCTCGTTAAAAAAATAATGCATTAATTACATTTGTGACTGACCTCCTTGGGGGAGAATTGTATGTCTCTTACTCTGTTTTACATGCATTCTGCCATATATTTAATGTTCTAGTAGTCTCGGATGATGACCCAGCACATGTTCATTTTAAGAACACTTTCACTGCAGATCTGACAGAACACAAAGAAGTTACCAATGTGAAATTTCTAAAGATAGCTACAGCATTCGACCCAAGGTATAAGTCTGAAGTGCTTTCCAAAATCTGAGAGGGACAAGGTATGGAGCATCCTTTCAGAAGTCTTAAAAGAGCAACACTTTTATGTGGAAACTACAGAACCTGAACTACCAAAAAAGAAAATCAACCTTTCTGCTGGTGGCATCTGACTCAGATGATGAAAATGAACATGCATCGCTCTGCACTGCTTTGGATGGCTATCGAGCAGAACCCGTTATCAGCATAGACTCATGTCCTCTGGAACCGTGGTTGAAGCATGAAGGGACATATGAGTCTTCAGTGCATCTGGCACATAGATATCTTGCAACACCAACTATGACAGTGCCATGAGAATGCCTGTTCTCACTTTCAGGTGACATTGTAAACAAGAAGCAGGCAGCATTATTTCCTGCAAATGTAAACAAACTTCTTTGTCTGAGCGATTGGCTGAAGAAGAAATAGGACTGAGTGGACTTGTAGGCTCTAAAGTTTTACATTGTTTTATTTTTGAATGCAGTTTTTTTGTACATAATTCTACATTTGTAAGTTCAACTTTCATGATAGAGATTACAGTACAGTACTTGTATGAGGTGAATTGAAAAATACTATTTCTTTTGTTTTTTACAGTGCAAATATTTGTAATCAAAAATAAATATAAAGTGAGCACTGTACAGTTTGTATTCTGTGTTGTAATTGAAATCAATATATTGGAAAATGTATAAAATATCCCCAACTATTTAAATAAATGGTATTCTATTATTGTTTAACAGCGCGATGAATCGCGATTAATTTTTTTAATCGCTTGACAGCCCTAATATGGACCTCTTTGGTAAAGTGCTTTCAGATCCACTGATGCAAAGTGCTACATAAGATTCAGGTACTATCACTATTTATTACATTTTGTCAGTTTAATCACTGTAACTAGTTGTGCGACCCTTACTCCCCTTGATGAGAACTTACTGAGTTGAGTAAACCCACTGAAGTCAGAGAGACTACTTGAGTGAATAAGTGTTCACCACAATAAGTAAAGTCTTACCCCACTGAGTCTTAAAGGTCTGATCATGCTCACTTTATCTGCATGTGGGGGATACCTTACATGCACAGATCTCCCCCTTTTGCAGGAAGACTGGGGAGAGGAGACAGCCATTCTTTCCAGGTCTGGGATTCCACATAGTTGGAGCAGATGAACAGTGATCATCTTTCATGCTGAGGCAATGTTAAAGCTAGGAAGGTATATGCAGGTAGAATACTAGGAAACATACCATGGAGGAGATAAGAAGAAGCACCATATTCTTCAGAGTGTCTTCCCCACAACAACCATCTCTGTTACAGAGAACTGTTTTGCCTGTGCGGAGCCATCTCTACTCACATCACAGATCCAGGCTGCTGCCAGAAAACACACACAGGCTATTTTTTTAAAAACCTGTAACTTATC